AATATACGTATTTTGGAAATGTTGAGTCGGATTAGTGTAGAATCGATTAATTTTATGGAAGAAAACCTTTCAATCAGCCGTAGTCCGTAAACTTGACACTTGTCGGGCTGTGATTGGAACGACTCGTAAGAAATCGGATTCCTAAAGAATGGAACGTATCTATGATCTTATAGGGGGGTCGACTGTATATTATTAGTATATCTGAAGTACAGAGCTCCCGTTGGGATTCGGCTTGCTCTTTTGTTTATTACGTACATCACCTCAGTGCAGGATATTTACATTTATGCAAGTGTTGTGCAAATCATGGCTTCTAAAAAACAGAAAGGTGATTTCAATTGTAACAAAGCAAGAAATCATCAGTAGGAGTGAAATTTGACAAAAACTTCCTTGTCGAATGGGGAGAGGTTCAGGAGTTTACCAACACTCATTATCCAAACACAGTTGAGGCCAACAGGATCAATGATCTCTACAATGACACCCTTGCCCCTCATTTCCGACAGGTGTTGAAAAAGAGAGAGAAACAGACCATTCTGGACATGTTTTTCAAGAAGCCAGCTGCCAAAAGACAAAGGATGGAACAAAAGGAGTTGACCCTGCAAGGCCCCGGAAGCCTCTCCTGAATCTGACTCAGATTAAAAAACAATAAAAAGAGACCTGCTGCAATGTGTAAAAAGTCTGTATCTGTATGAATGTGTGAAGAAAGTGTTCCTCCACCTCCTCCTCTGACTACCAGGCATAATTGGTGACTGCTCCATTTTCAGTTTTTAATGGTATAGTACGGTTATTTTACACTGCGGAACGAATTATATGTTTTAACATGTATTTCTATGGGAAAATGCGTTTCGTATAACGGACTTTTCACTTAACAGACGTTCATCTGGAACGGATTGAGTACGTTATACGAGTCGCCACTGTATTTTGTTGTTTCTTAGTGATACCTAAAGGAAAATTTAAAATGTAAACTTTACCGTTTATGGTATTTTGCTGCTAAGAAAATGTATATTTAATATACTTACTTGTTTATTATAACCTGTATCATTGCAGGATTTTGTAACCTCTGATGTTGTAAGGGGTTTTTATTGATGTTTTCATTTTTGCGTTTAGATGTTCAATTTTATTTTCATTTTGTCGGGTTTAATGTTTGTGTTAAACTAACAAAGTGTTAGAATTGTCGGGTTATAATAAATGTATTAATAAATTGTTTGTGAGGTGCTGTGGGGTTTCTATTAAAAAGTGATCGTCTTTGTTTTCTTTCTCCTCTGGGGCATGCGGGTTTATAACATGCCTACAGTCGTGATCGCTCTTTGGAAATCCAATCTGTAAAAAGAAATGGCATTAGATATTATCCAAACTATTAAACCACAGTATCTGTTCTTATCAGCTTAATTAACCAAAAAATTACTAGCAAATTCTTCAGAACATTTAAATTTTATAAAATTTAGAGATTCGTTATATTTAAATTTGATATGTCATTGACTATACTCATCTTAATACTGTATAAATATTAATTAATTCACGATCCGGATACTTCTAGATATCAATTAAACGAGTAAGCAGAACAATGACATGATTTTTGTTTTATATGAAAGAAAAAATCGTATTAGTTTGTCTTCTTAACCTTTTGTCAAGTAGAAGCACGTTTTATTGATAACCTTAAAGTGTTAATACAGTCGACCCCCCTATAATTATGGTCCCTATAATTACGATTCCTATAAAACTACGAAAAAATTGTGACCGGTGTCCGTAAAAAACAGTAAAAATTCCCTATAATTACCTCAAACGTCATCGGGCAGCCGAACTACTTTCCCGCCGTCCGTAGCGCCACGCTACGGAGAGATTTCTATCGTCTGGACAGTATTATATAAATTATATATAAATTAGGTACTGTACATATAATTATATATTAATTATATATAAATTAGGTACTGTATATATAATTATATATTAACTTATTGTAACTTTGTTATAATTAAATATATAATTTCCGCCGTCTAGCGTGGCGCCACGCTACGGAGATTTTTACGCTAACTATCGTCTGTCAGTATGTAAATTAGGTACCGTAAGTCTAATACAGTACTGTAATTTTATACATTTCTTGTGAAAGAAACATTTCTTATTCAACGGCGATTAAAATTATTTATATTAATGATGTCTCCGAAGTTCAAGGAACTATTCGCAGAAAAATAAGTTATTAGAAATCGGCCGCGGTTTGCTGAGCTGTTCCGCGACGAAAACAAGCTTTAGCAATGGCGATGTCGAATGGTGACACTCGGTAAGTAATCCTACAATTTTTTATTTATAACGTAGTTTATACGGATTATTTCCAAAAAAAAATATACGTATTTTGGAAATGTTGAGTCAGATTAGTCTAGAATCGATTAATTTTATGGAAGAAAACTTTTCAATCAGCCGTAGTCCTTAAACTTGACAGGTGTCGGGCTGTGATTGGAACGACTCGTAAGAAATCGGATTCCTAAAGAATGGAACGTATCTATATCTTATAGGGGGGTCGACTGTATTTAAACTTATTTAATGTTAAAAACTGATAAGTTGTGAAGCATCATCCTGATTCTATCGTTCATTTCGTATTTTCCACTATAGCAATCGAAAATAAGCCGTTTTTATTGCCAATTTCAGCTCGGAAAAGATATTTACATGTCATATTATGAAAAATTATTTTATTAATTAAGTGTATGAGAGATATATTGTAATAATTTCATATAAATAAAGCTATCATTTTCTTCAGTATTTATGCAGTGTGCTGTCAAATGGAGACTGTATTATGTGATTATTAAATGTAAGTGTGTACGGCATATTTCCATAGTTTAATAAGATTTTTATTAATATATATATGAATAATTTATTTACAACATAAAAAAGAGGAAGTCACTAAATTTCATTGTTAATCGGAAGACAGTGTATTATTGATAGATCGACGCATAATTTTACTTAAAATTATATAATTATACGTGTTACATTAATAAAACTGTCTGAAAGATCCTAAGGTTATTTACATTTTTTACCTCAAAACATAGACTTTTTTTTTTACTTTTTTCTAATAATTTATAATGAAAATTTATTTTTTTAATAATATCTCACAATTGATGGCGCCATACACAATTTTAGCTTTGTACTGATGTGTGATAGAGTTTCTTAAAAACAATTATTTCATTTAATAAAGAAATATCTTTCGCAATTCAACAAAAATTATTCTTTTTTAGTTTGTCTTAAAATTTAAACTTTATATCGTAGTGGAATTAAAAATTATCGGTCTTCCTAATAGTGTTGTAAACTTCTCTGCTCCTGTACCACACCAGCTATCTATAATCCCGAAAACGATGCCAGAACTCAATCTCGATAATAAACTCGATTGAGTTTATAAAAAAATGGATTTAGGGTCTCTTGTTTGTGAGTGGTGTGTTTCACTAAACAGTTGAAATCAGGTGTTAGGCAGAACAGCTCTTGACGGATATAATTTGTTTGATATGAAACAAAGTTAACCATTAGTTTGAATTTTTAACCGCATGTCAACTAGAAATTCTTTGTTTAACATTCCATTTCGTTAATACTAAAATAAATAAAAATGTATTTTTTTTAAATACGGTTCTGTTATTGTAGTATAATTGATTGAGCTTAATAATTTATAACAATAAATAATTTAATAATTAATACTCATTTTTTAGCATATTATATTAATAGTTGAACATTTATTAAACACTTAAAATTTTTAATAATATATCATAATTCTATTTAGGAAATAATTAATGTAAAGTATAAATTTAAATTACATTTTTTAGAAAAATGAAAATTCTAAACTTTATAAATATGCAAATTATTATCATTTGGCTTGGATGAATGTTTTATCAAGTTTATAAGTATTACAAGTACAATTTCTTGTTAAAACATTTGAAGTTTTTTGAAGTTATAACGCAAAATTTACAATATTTTTGTTTTAAAAAAGAAAATTTACATAATACAGTAAAAAAATGATTGTTTCTCCGGAGAGTACACAACAAAGTGACGAAGAAAGTACTAGCCCTAGAGGAACGAAAAGAAAATTTAATCATACTATAAGTGATCGTTTAATTCGCAGTATTGAACTAATTCGTTTCTGCAATGAAACTGCTGAAAACATACGTGTGAAAACGTTAGAGAGCACTGAAACACCCTGTGTTACGAGTGAACTTAGTTGCAGTTTTAGAAATAGTGTTAAATGTACTTTTGGAATTAATCGCAGAGGAACACATGCCGTATGTATGAAATAAATGATATTATTTTTATATTAATTTTAGTACAAATTTTAATACCATGATTTTTTTCTGATAAAATGTTTAGTTTCAAACCTACTATTATGACGATGCAATGAAATTTAGAAGTACATGTTTAGTTGAGAAACGTGCTGAAAGAGGCAATGCTTTATGGATTCCAGATATACACGAAAATCTTCCTGAGTATCTTTTGGCTGCTAGTGATAATTTATGTTTATATGAAAATATCGATTCTAGTTTAATTCTCAGAGCATATTTTGGAAACGTAAGTGAAGTTATTTTTTAATAAGTATTAATGTGTTTAAGTTTGTTTATAATTTCATTTTTTAATATTTTTCAACAACATTTTACTAGTTACTAATTACGTGAAATGATTTTTAGCAATGAAACTACAATTTACATTAAATTTTTTAATTAAAATTCTGTTTTTCGTGTACTTATGACTGTTTTAGCTCATTTTATGCGTCTACAGAAACGAAAGGAACCATAGATAAATGAAGTTTCTTTTATAATGTATATACACTTTACTTTTTCAAAAGTTTGTTTCATGTGTCTTGTGCATTGCATCAATAAATCATCATAATTTCATTTTATATCTGGGTTTTTAAATTTACTTCAACGAAACTGTTCTTTTGTACTGTAATTTGATGACTTAACATACTGTTTTTGTTTTCGAATTTTTTCAAACTTGCAATAATTCAGAATAGCGGAAATAAACTTCGCTGAGCCATAGTTAGGAAGACTCGTTCTATGCACCTAAATGAATAAAAAAAAAACCTTTTACAACGCCAATTTTGCTTCAGAAATTTATAATATTGTCATTTACTGTTTTCAACCACCGTTATACCGTATTATTTTACAGGTTCGTCGAAATAATCCAGTAATATCCTGTGGATGGTGGAGTCAGGATCCTCAGTATGTATGCAGTGTGCAGTTAAATGGGGCCTGTAGTATATTTTCACTAGATGTAAGTTTTTTTCAAATTTATGAAATGTTTTATAAATTGTCATTAATGATAACATATAATAATTTATTTACAACAGAGAAAAGATGAATTTATTACATTCAACATACGAAATTTTCATAATCCAAATTGGAATATCGTTGACACTAACGTAGGAATGTGTTTTTTTCAAGGTAGTTCGATGCATTCCTTTGTGACGTATAATGACAAGACAGTAAATTTTCTAAATGACATAAGATGTCCTGAAAATTCTTACGTATACAATTTCGAGAATCCAATTTTTAGTGTCAAAAGCTCACTTCGTAGTCCTTGGCTTGTTGCTTGTGCCGAAAGAAAGAATGTAAATTAATTATAAACACTTTATTTTTTTATGATAAGTGGTTAATTTTTAAATTAATATTTTTCAGATTTTAATTATAGACGTTAGATTTCCGAATCAAGCATGTTCATCAATGTTTTCCTTTGATCCGTCTGATAATGCAAGTTGCTTTTCATGGTCAGCATATGATGAGATAGCAATTGGAAGTATGATCAATTAATTACTTATAAATTAAAGTTTTATTTATTATAATTTTTATAAAAAACAAGATTTACGTGAATAATCATTTTTTAACAGCTGAAGGTGGAAAATTAATACTTTGGAGTACAAGAAAAAATGATATTCAAACAATCTACAACTACGATTTCGGTTATATTTACACCATGGAATATTATCGTGATGCAAGAGACGTTTTATTTGTTTGCCATGAGTAATTTTACTATATATTTCATTTTAAAATGTACTTTTAATTTATATTACTGCATAACATTTAAAGATTTTTTTACTGAAAAAATATATGTTTTACTGGAGTTATAATGATATTATATATATAACTATGTAATAAATTTACGTATTTGATGATCATTTATATCAAAGAATACTTGTAAAGTTCTGAAACCAAATTTATATGATGCCCTATATATTTGTTGTAAAAATAATAATAAATATTTTTTACTTACTGCTACATTTATTTATTTATATTATCAACTAATATATATATATTTTATATATAAAACTATGATTTTTGTGAATTATCAAACAACATATCCATTTACCGTTTCAATAGGTGGTACTTTGCGTTAATGAGGATATTTTTACCATAAGACAATATAGACTGCATTAGTATTTACATTAGTGTAATGTAAATAATGTACTAGATATTTGTAACACGATTATCGCAGCCAGGTATGATGATAACACAGTATACCTATCAATTTTCAATGTCGTCTGTCTCTCTGTCTTTCTTTAAGTCGAGAACGGTGTTAGGTAGATAAAAGCCGAGACCAGATATGGAAAGATTAGGACAGGAGACCCTAACTGATAACATCACTTTCAATTTGTACCGGATTGTAATTTTATTTCAAAGTGTTCTCTGAAAACTGTTAGATGGCCCACCAATGGCTAAGCGGTTTTCTTCTTTGAACACTGGGAGTTCGATCGTGTGCTTGCGCCTTGCCAGACAAGTTGGCTACGTGGAGTTTTCCCGATTTTCTCCACATCTGTAACGCCTTAATAACGGCCAGTTACCCTTAAAAGTCTCTCCGGAAAACATTATACCCCGCGTATCGATCATCATAAACGCATACAACTACTATTACATAAGAATACCTCACACGTTACCACGGAACGATATAGCTTATCTCATGCCCAACTAGCCGATACAAGACAAGGTGTCAGATAGATGACCGGCACAACTCTATTGTTATTAAAGTATGATGTACAGAGGCAAACCACTACTAATTTGTTGATGAAGAGCATATATTTTAAATTTATTTAATTTAAAATATGATTTAAAATTGCAGCCCGTCATTGTGACGATGTCACAATAAATAATTGCTCGTAATTCATATTTCAAATTCTATTACGCGATTCGACTACGGAGAAATAATAGACGAAAATGTTTATGGTTATTTAATTAATCGATTGATAATTTTATTTAATAATAAATATATGTTTAACCTTGTAAATTATGCAAAATATTGACAGTTTACTTTAGTGAAATTTTCGTCGGGAGAAAATGTGTGTTACAATATCCATTTTTTTGTCGAGTAATTACAAATTATACAAATAATAATTAGAAATTTTTACTTTCTCCTTATTTTATAAACAGACGAAATATCATCATTGTAAAAATGAATTGTTCTTCGGGAAATACGTCACAAAGTTACAGAGTATGATCGATTCTCAGATGAATAAAAAGAAAATTTTCTGATGGTATGAATCTTGAAGTACAGACAGTAATGAAATAATTCTTATCTTTAATACTTATGAAATCTGCAATTGCCCTGTATTGACCTGTATTAATACCGGCATTAATGCTGTGTTTATACTGTATTAACATGGTGTGAGCAGTTGATAGAGATTTCCTGTTCATAAAACTCTAATCAGATTGTCATCGAAATTTGGATACAGACTATAACGAATGATAGAAAGATTTTGCAAAAAGAATGACTGGAAATAAATCAAGAAAAAACAATGAAAACAGAATTTACAGGTTATTTACTGATGTTATGAATGTTGCTTAATTTAGGTTCAATATCCCACTTTCTAGATTCAAAATGAAAGGCGATGAAAAGTGTGTTCTACTGAACAGCTGAAGTCAGCTGTTAGGCAGAACAGTTGACCTCAACCGTTGTTCATTGACCATCGCCAGGATGGTCTTCGTTATTTACCGTATTTTGTTTCGTGTCATTCTTTGTTAAGCGCCCGTAAGAAAAATTTTGTTGTAAATGCAAAGATTTTATTACATCATTTTCTTCATCTTTTCCGTAGTCTGTAAACAAATTTTGGTGTAAATCCGCTTATTGGTTTGTGCTTCAGAGTGGTCCGAATAAACCAAATTTAATTATAACCAAACTGAATATATGTACAGTACTTTTATATAGATGTTTTCCTTAAAATCCAAACCTAATTTTATAATTTCAATTGTAATTTTACTGTCATATACTATATTTTTTTTTTATTTTCTTAATACACACTAGTAGCCACAATAAGTGGCATGCGGCCTGAAGACTGAAGATTCATCAAACTTTCTGTAGAAAATCATCTTGGACTACTTTGCATGAAATAGATACGTACAAGAAGATTAATTATATGATACTTAACCGCCCATTACAGACCAAGCAAGGCCTTAATTAATTAATATATTTTCTAGAGTCTATATTAATCAATATTCAGATAAAATTTTCTATATAATATTCAAAGTTAATTAATTAATTGCACATGTAATTGTTAAAAAAAAAACAATTCAAAACAAATTAATTTTTATATTATACTAGCTGCAAGGACTTGCTTCGCTTGGTTTTTATTTGTTCGTACATTTGTATGTAATATAGTTTTTATATATATATATAAAAGACTGTTTTTCTAAGTACAGTAGATCCCCCTATAAAATTAAAGTTTTATTTATTATAATTTTTATAAAAAACAAGATTTACGTGAATAATCATTTTTTAACAGCTGAAGGTGGAAAATTAATACTTTGGAGTACAAGAAAAAATGATATTCAAACAATCTACAACTACGATTTCGGTTATATTTACACCATGGAATATTATCGTGATGCAAGAGACGTTTTATTTGTTTGCCATGAGTAATTTTACTATATATTTCATTTTAAAATGTACTTTTAATTTATATTACTGCATAACATTTAAAGATTTTTTTACTGAAAAAATATATGTTTTACTGGAGTTATAATGATATTATATATATAACTATGTAATAAATTTACGTATTTGATGATCATTTATATCAAAGAATACTTGTAAAGTTCTGAAACCAAATTTATATGATGCCCTATATATTTGTTGTAAAAATAATAATAAATATTTTTTACTTACTGCTACATTTATTTATTTATATTATCAACTAATATATATATATATATATTAGTTGATTATATATGAGTTTAGTTTCGTCTGT